TTATAGCCAATGCAGTTATGGGTGCACCAGCTGTATTATGGGAATTCTATATAACTCCTGTCTGTTTCTGAACCAAACCCCCTGAGGTCAGCTTGCAAGATTAAAAAGTCCTCCTCTTTCATATACATGCCCTTCCCCATCCTTGTTCATTTACCAATGTGTGGAATTAAGTAAGTTGTCTTAATCGGACATGATGCCCTTCCAGGCCAGGGAGGAGCTTCTTAAGAACTGCCTTCCTATCCTGTACTCTTGTGTAATGGCAACAGTTATACAAAAAATGCGTGTCTTCCTTCCTTACTAAAATCTATACCTTGGGAGGCACTGGTGTGCACATATCTCATGCTGCTGAAAGAATGTTTTGGGTATTTGCAGGATTTTTTTAAGTGTGGAAGAGAATGAAGAGGGGAAAAAATGAAAGAAAAATAAAAAGAAATTGAAGAAATTAAAACATCTCTGCTTCTCAAGTCCACTTTTAAATCATCAGGGGAAAAAGGCCACCACAGGTCAGGTAAGCATCATGAATCTGGGCCATTTTTGATCTTGGTTACGAAAAACAATAAAAGACGTATCTTTTAAATAGCACAATTCCCCTTACATTCAGATATCCCAGGAAACTACCATGCTAGCCAGACTACCAGCACTCAGTATATGGAGAATTTGAGAGAACAGATGGGAGAAGCCACTATTTCTAATACAGCCCTAGGGCATCTCTGTTCCCTTGTTTGGTTTTGTAACCTCCCCTCTTCCAGCTGCTCAGACCATGACATGATGCTCCTCACAGACCCACAGTACCACCCTTCATTGGACAGAAAGACCACACAGGGAGAAAGCAAGTGGCTTCAACCATGAGAACCAGTCTGCCTGCATAAACAAATCTCTCACAGGCCAAAGCAAGACGTCAGAAAAGCTTGTTCAGTTCAGCTCCCACCAGACTTAGACACGGGAAGTGTAGCTCAACCAGCTCAACCAGCAGAGTAGTCATCAGCAAAGGTTTTTACTCATTTATATCCAGAAATGGAGAAGTGGGAAACCATTTGGAGCGCTTAGTTCAGTCCAGTCCCATGACTTCTGTAGTCTCCAAACAGAATCTCACATTCCTTTAAGTGCAGAGTTCCTTTGGAGTAGAAAGCCTGAAGAGGGTTAATTTTATGTTTGCCTTAGACCTAGCAGTCCCTGGAGACTCTGCACTGGGGTTGTCCTTTCTCATTCATCACAGTGGATTTCCAGCAGTTGGTTTAAATAAGACAGAACATGTCCTTAATCTAAAAAATTGTCATGTGCTAAACTTCAGGAATTAACTTCAACTTCTTGCCCAACTTGTTTGAAAGGGCCAAAATGGATCTAGGAGTGAACAGCAGTGGAAGGTGTGTTATCCAGAAACCTTCCTAGACAATACCATTAAACGATGGCATCTTTAAAGACATGCTGGGCAGACAGCACAGGTGTCCACATGTCTACATATGTCTGCACCATACTACAGACACTTGTTTACTTCTACTAGAGTTCAATCTTTGTGTCTATTCATTTTCAATGAAGGTTTAATATTTTCCTTCTTTTAGAAGCCAGAACTGATTATTTCCATACTTTACCCTGGCATGGCGATGGCAGAGTATTCCATAAATATTTCAAAAGGAAAGCCTGCAGATTCATGTAAAGTTAGTTTCTTAGCTGAATAATAATTGTGGATATGTCAATGAACTGGATTTTTCTTTCTTGAATAGTCGTAACTTTGTGTCATATGACACTCACTAAAGTCAATAAATGGGATTTTGAAAAACTGGGCTCTACTCTTGCTTTGTAGTTCATTTTGGACTTCCACAAAGGCGATTTCAGGATAGGCACCTTAGAGAAGAAAATGATGAATCAGAAGTGTAGAGAAGAAAAGGGAAAGAAGGGAGAAGGAGAGTTTGTTCTTTCCATCAATATTAAATTGTCCATTTCCCAGCTGCAGGCTCATGAAAAGGAGACTTCTTGGTGATTACCTAGTAATTCAAACCTTACAAACTCACCCCAGAACACTCAAAGACAAGGTAAAAAAGGATTATTTTTTTTTATTGCAGATTCATGAAATTTGATCCACAGCAGAGCTTGGAGAATTCACTAAGCTTTTGAATGCATATGCAGACTGGTATCAATTTCTTTTTTTATTTCTTCCTTACCAGATGAACAATATACATGAACAATATCATGTGTATGTGTGTGTAAACATGAGTAGCTTTTATAAATGCAAATGCCAAAGAATACAAGTAAAATAGTCTGGTTTCTATGAAGGGCTCTGTCTCACAAAACAATCTGCTGCACAAACCCAAACCAAATCTCTAAAACACTATTCACGTGTTAACATTACAGAGAATGCCTGCATTTTAACTTTTTACCTATTCATAATAGGAACCAAGAGGTATTGAACCAAAGATGAATCTAAGTAGCAAGTTATCTTCACAATCCCCCACCACTATTACCACAGAAGATATTTAGAGTCAAAGGGCTTCCCTCCCAAACAAGTGCACACTCGGTGCTGCCTATACCCCTGCTTTACCTATAAAGAACCCAGAATTAAAAAGTTGTAATTGGGTCCCTCTGGTGTAATAATGCCTGTAACAGTTGTAACAGGGACTGAATTTGGTGTAGTTCTTAGTATTTCCCAGTTACTGATGAAAAACCAAAGGATACTGACAAACTTATTGCCACAGTATGTATCGCTTGAAACCCAGAAAGTTCCATCTACTCTTGGTTCAGTGAAAGCCTCTGTGAGAAATAAACAGCATTACCTTACTTTTCATGGCTTCATACACTATGAAGCACTTTAAATCAATTTTCCTTGTTATTATGCTGGAATTTTGGAATGGTCCTGTGAGTTATATTCCTGTAAAGTTTTTTTTTTTTCCTTTATGAACCTGTGATCTCTTGGACGTTTAAGAGAAACACAACATACATAAGTAGAAATTAATGAATGAGTATTAGCAAGTGTGGTTTCCTTTCTTACTTTCAACACTGCTATTGGCCAGCTGCTAATCAGTCAGATCCCGCATAACTTTGATTTGGTATGTGTTTTTAATCATCACCACCCTCTCTTTGGGTTCCCGGGCCAAAATGGTGAAATTTTAACAGTTTTCAATATATCTATTTCTAACTGAACATGAAAACATCAGATAGTTCATAAAAACTAGAAGAAGCTCAAATATTGGTGTTGAAAGCAAATGAAATAACACATAGCTATCAGTCCACTGGAATGTTTCATACTTCTTGAGAACAAGAGCAAGCCCGCAGACAATTGTTTTATTTTCTACAATTCTTGAGATCCAGAGAAAGTAGCTCCTTTGAATATTAAGCCCACAGCACAGGCTGAAATGATCTCCACCTCCCCTCAGTCACACACATCAAAGGCAGCAGAAAAGTTCCACAAAACTGCTGTACATCTGAATGTGTTGATAGAGCCTGACTGATATGGTACACCACTGGAATGATACTTAATTCACCAATATGTGCTCAGCAAACATTTGGAGCAAGAGAACCATTTTTTCTCACCTTTTGTGTTAAGTATGAACTTCTAATGTAAAGACCTACCCAGAGAATAGAACATCAGATGTGTTTGTTTTATGAAACTGTGTAAAGGTTTTCCAGAGCTGTCACAGCATGATAGCTTTGGCCATTTATTTTCCCAGATCTTTGAGTGCTACTGCTTGCTTTGGGAAACTTTTTTTTTTTTCCTTTTCCTGAACAGCATTTAATAAAAGTCCTGTGAGTAGTTCTGAAGAGGTTATTTACCCTAATCACGGTTAACTCCTGGCTGAAGCAGAAGTGTTTCTGCTGCTCTGCCTGTGCAACCCAAGCCTTGCAACTCCAGGCCTACAGTCCACATAGGCAACCTTATCAGTACAGCCTCACAAAATTGCTTTTTTTACTAATCCTAAACCCAAAAGAAACAAATGTGTTAAATAAGCCTGTTGAAGTCAACAGCATTCTGCATATGTCAAACCAACTCAGGAATTATCAGCAACTCCATACTGGGTTCATCCTTTTTCTGTAACATACTGCTGAGTGTGGTGACCCTGAAAATAAAAGCAATTTTGATTCTGCTAATGTGATTTTTGTGGGCTGGTTTTAGGTTTTTTTTTTGGGGGGGTGGGTGTTTTGTTTTAGGGTTTTTTTTTCAGTTTTAGCATAGCATTAAATGCTGAAAGTGCCAAGGCAAATCAATCTGCCCGTGTGGAGTTTTGTGTAGGATTGGGGTCTAATTTGGCCTCGCATACACCTGTATCTCCAGCTTTCAAGCTGTTTTTCTTCCGAGTTATTGGCACACACAGCAAAAAGAATCACATTCCTGATGTGACACATCACTGAACCAGCAATGGTGACTTTCAGCTATCCTTCAAATGGTTAGTAATTGAGGCTTTTTAATTTTTTTTTCCACAGGCTGGGTTGTCTGGTAACATACAGTTTCAGTCAGTTTAAAATGACCAGTTTTAGCCATGCCAACCAAAGAAATGAGGGCAATCCCACATGCTGCGAGTGTTTATGTGTATGTCAGTCATAACTTTAACCCACTACCCAATTATCAAGCAAATTTGACAAAAGGAAGAGTAGCAATTCCAGTTCTGTAAGTGAAAATACATGGCTGGGGAGAACAGGGAGACTGTATCTGAGCTGTTCTACATGAAAGGCAACATGAGTTCACCCTTTAGCCAGCACGTGAGTTTCTGTGTGTGAGAGCTAGCAAGCAAGATGTTGTGAAAGCCTGTTTGGTGGAAACAATATCAAGAAGATCTGAAACCACATAAGACACCAGAGAATAAAATAGTTAAATGCGGAGAAAACCAGTACTTATAAACATGTTTTTTTCCATTATATGAACTAAGACTGTGTGTCACTGTGTGCCCTTTACAGATGATTTCTGACATTCTGAATTGCATGTGAACACAAGCTGGATGCCAGAGTACTTAAAAGTGTGAGCAAACATATTGCCAATGAGAGCAATAAGCTCAGTGAAGATTTAGTCTTACCAAGTATTATTTCTAAGCTGAATATCTTCCGCTTCTCCCTGTTTCCTTCGTGGATGAAATAAATGGGTGACAAGAGGCTGCAAAGCATCCTTGCTTCCTCTCCACAGACAGAAGGAAATTGTGGTTCTCACTGGAAAAAAAGGAAAGTGCAAGTGGGAACTAGGGCCGTAACATAGGTTTCATGGGAGAATGGCAGTGAGAAAGCAAGGACAGACTCTGCTACTGCAGGAACTGCAGCAGATTCCAGATTCTTCCAGGTGGCTTCAGAGAACAGCAGTTCCTCTTCCCTGCTGCAAGGTCTCCCCAGCTCCCTTCAGTGAGCTGCTTTGCATCTCACAGGACAAGTGTCCTTTAGCAAATGCAGGCAACCAAACACTGCAGAGCAGGGCTGGCTCTCTGTGGTGTCAGAGCCTCCTTCCAGGAAAACTGCAGAAACAAAGCACCACAGAGGGAAAGAGAGAGCCCTTGCTGGCAGGAGACCTGGGTGACAAACAGGTTATTAATAATCCTTTTTTTGAGCCTCAGAACCATAGCATTCATAGGATATCTCAAATCAGAAGGGACCTATAAGGATCCTCCCTCCCTGCCATTGAGCTGTAATTACTTTCATTTTCTCCCAACTGGAAAAGAAAGTATAAATGAAGCTTTTGTTTTGCACTTGTGACCCATGTAGATTCTCCAATAACAATTTAGGACTCACTGCACTCATCTGAGCAATTCTTACTTATTGGTATGACATAAGAGTGACTAAGTCTGTAGAATGAAGTGCATAGCTGGAAACTCCACATTTAACATCCTACAGAAGCAAGGACTCTTCAGAAAGGCTTCAAAGCTGCCTTGGTCACGTGTCTGTTGAAAAAGACCAAACAAAAGCATCTCTTTCCCATGATATCGTGTTAAAAAAAAAAAAATAATCCTTACAGCTACACAACGATAACTATATATAACTAGAATTAAATTAGGGAGTATCATTTAACCGACTTAATTTCCTGAATAGCCCTTTGTTAAGAGCTGTGTGAGGACCTGGCAGTTAAGACTAATTGATGATTTTGAAAATCAACAGGACAGGCAGAACTATATAGTAATTGCATGCATTACTACGAGGAAAGTCATGATTCTGTAATATAAGTTAAATTGCTTAAGTAAGTCTTACACAGCTACACAAGTAATGTTTCACTGCAGATATTCCTGAATGTTAATCCATAACGTAACTAGCTGCAGTTAAGAGGGAGGGGAAAAAAAGAAAACCCCACCCAGTTTGTAGCTATCCTGTATCTCAGACAGGGTGATATAACATATGTTTTAAAACGATAAAGACTTCCAAAAATAAGACAGAGTTTCCAGAAAAATATTCATGCACGCCCAAACAAAAGCAACACCCGGTAATAATTGAGTATTTGCAGCTTTTTGTATCCAAGAAGTTAAAAGAAAAAAAACAACAAACCAGCCCAAAACAGCCCCTTTCAGTGGCTTAGCCGGTCAACACTCTTATACACAAAGCCCAGTGCTCTTCCCTAAAACCTAAGAATTAATGAGCATTATGTAAGAGATTTTTATAACACTCTAAAAATACATTGTGAATTCCTTTCCAGTGTCAGACTGAGAAGCTTTAAACTACTGCCACCCCTCATCCCCTTTTTGAACAAAGACTGGATCTTCATTTCTGATATTAGAAACTTAAATTTGTCTCAGTATTTAGGCCTCAAATCTCACTAATTACAGTATTGGCCTCTTGAGATACAACTGGTGCTGCTACCAGCAGTGTTTGTGCTCAAAATGACTGGCACAAGGGCAAAGATACACAGACATTCATACACGTATGAACACTTGAAGAAAGAATTAAGGACACATAAAAGTTCGTATATGGATGATTTCATGATGATTAACCTGCTTACAAAGCAAACTTTTGTACCCATGTGATAATGTTTTGTTTGCGTGGTGCTGACAGATAATACACCAAGATAGCATTCCTGCAAAGGCAGCTGTAATATTAGCCTGGCAGATCTACAGCAGGGTCCTATGAGCACCTTATTCCTTTTGTGCTCTATTTTTCATATGCATAATAAATAAGTACCAGCATTTTCCACCAAAGGATCTCTACGCAAAATTACAAAATCATCACCTGAATGTTAATGGAACCATACCCGTAAAGAGAACAGGTTTTAACACTGTTATTGGGAACAGAACCATCCTGCCCATGCCTGAGTGCCCATCCCTACTCTCCAAAAGTTCATTCCACTCTGCCCCAAATCACCATTCGATCTATGAACGTGCAAGGCACCTGCAGTCCTTCCGACCAAAATAAGTCACAAGAATGCAAGCAAATAAATCACATGAAAAATGGGAACAAAGGATTTTCACCTGTGGAAGACTTGCCATGGAATGCATATCCAGAGAACATCACAGCAATCCCATCAGCACATTTTTAGGGAACACCTCAACAGTGTCCTTCTTCAGAACAGAACTTTTCCCCATACAAGGCCAACACAATACTGATGGGCCATCTTCCCAAAATAATCCCCCACTCTTCAAACCACAAAACAAATCGACCAAAACTATTGTGGTAAGCAGAAGGGGGGGGGGGGGGGGGGGGGGGGGAAAGACAGAAGGTGCAAAGAAGACTGCCTTGCCCAGGAGCGATTTCTTCATTGTTACCATTTTCATGTAAAAGCCCTGCTGATACCATGGCTGATGCGTGGGAGAATGGAACAGGGAGTTGTTAAGGTCTCTGATGGGATGATAACTGCTCTTCCAAGCAAATAATTAGATGAAAACTGTATTCTGGATTACGATGATCCTGTGCCAAAGTGTCAACTACCTTTGTGTGTTTGCCAAGGATATCCACGGTTCACTCTTCTTCCCCCAGCAACTTTTTTTTGTTTCTTTCTATATTTTACCTACAATCCAAGTCCTTCTTTGTTCTCTGCCCTGATTCTTTCTCTGTGTTTCTTTCTCTGTACCATCTTCTGCCCCCCCTATTCACACCGAATACAATCAGTCATACAGCTAGCCTTCACCTGAACTCTGTGGCACAAGACATGTAAGCCCCAGGAATGAGGGCAAAATGCCTCCTTTTGGTTCATGCCTCATTTACGTGCCCTTCTCAGACTCCCTCTCTTGTCTTTTCCCCCCTTTTATCACTCAAATTTACCGTGCATTGTTCCTGTACTTTGTTTCCTTTTTTTGTTCGCACCCACAGTGGTTTTCACCTCCTCTGTTAACTTCTACCCTTCCATTCCATCCTTCTGCCATTTTCCACATGTCCTTCTCCCACCACGAGCCACCTTGCTCGTCATTCTTCCCCTGGCATAGGCTGGAAGCAGGAGCCTCGGCCACCACGGGGTGACTCGAAAGCCAGACCACTCCAACCATGCTCTCCCACTCACCTGTTAATACAACAATAAAAATACAGTGGGGCAAAAGCCTAGGACAAACAACCAACTTTGGCACAAAATGGCTTTTGTTGTGATATGCTTTCATGTGGTTTACTTCTGCACACATCCCGAACAACCAGCTACAAGCACCTCAGACCCTTCAGCCGCTCACTCCTTCCTGTTGTCTCTGCTGCTCCATCCCTAATTTGTCTCAGTTGCTCATTTAATACCCTTTTAATCCTCCCACAACAATTCCACCTCACCAACCATTCCCTTCGCTCTAGCAGCTCAAAATCCAGAGAATATATGGGTTCCCCCCCCCCCCCGCCCCTGCAGCTCCAACAATGATAAACAGATGCTGGTGGTCTATGCATTGTACAGCTTCCCTCCTTAGAATTGTGCGTGACCTTTTCCTGGCAGCACAGTGGGGAGATGGGGTGTATTTACAACCTGGCTTGACCTAAAGAAGTGCTCAGAGATCTTGCCATTAAACACTCAAAGCGCCCTCGGGTTACACACGTGAGTAGGTTTACAAGATTAAGTCATGGGTTTGTAAAGAGAGGCAGGTATCAACATCTGCAGAATTTGGGATCATACTTCGGGAAGTCAAACGCAGGGACAAGGCACCTCTAATAAAAACGATGGCTATGCATGGTCCCTGTGCTGCTCTCTTCCCATCATCCCTCTGGAACACAGGATTATTCGCAATGTACCCTTAAAACAACAATAATAATAAAAATTAAAGCATTTCCTTGAATTTTTTTTAGAGAAATTCTTTTCTCTTTTAACCGTGTCTAAAACCCGCAGTTTCGGCTGAGGAAACGTTTCCCCCAGCCTCTCAGGGCCGCAGGCCACAGGAGGCCTAGGCTCAGCCAGCCCGTGGTACACATTCCGGCGGGGAGCAGCCCTCTGGCCCCGGGGGGAGCTCTACCGGCCCTGGCCTTCCCCTGCCCCACCGGGAAGGGCTTGATCCCGGGCTCTGAGGGAAAGGGGGGCGCCGGGTCCCCGCTGAGCGGCCGACGGGCGCCAGCAGCTGAGGAGGGGTCCGCAGGAGCGGGGGAGTTACTGGCGCTGAGGGGGCTGCGGGGCTGGCGTTGCGCGCGCTGCGAGAAGGTGAGAGCGGGCCGCGGGTGCCGCTGGAATCCGGTCCGCAGTTTCGCGCTCACCGACGCGCTCTCCCTCAGCCGGCAGCGGCGGCGGGCGGGGTGCCGCTTGCCGGGAACAGCCGGTTGTTTAAAACCCTTCTAGAACCGTTTCTAATTCCCCCTTGCGCGGGGAAGGGAGAGCGCTTGGGGGGGGGAGAGAGGAGGAGCCGAGTGTGGGGGGGGATGGGGGTGGTAAGGAGCGAGCCGCCCGTCCGGGTCCCGACTGTCAATCACCGCGAGGGGGGCGTGCCCGGCCGACCGGCTGGCCAATGGGGTGTGTGTGTGGCGGCGTCTCCATAGTGACGGGGCTGGTCCCGGGAGGCTGTGATGGGTTGACAGGTGCGTGACAGTCGGAGCTCTCCGCAGGCATGTACGGCAAAGGCAAGAGCAACAGCAGCGTCCCGTCCGACAGCCAGGCCCGGGAGAAGTGAGTACCGCCCCAAGGGACGCAGCGAATAACTTTCCCGCCGCCGGTCCGTGCGGAGCGGGAGGACGCAGCGGGCGGACCCCCTCCCCCCCCACCCCCCCACCCCCCCCCCCCCCGTCCTTCCGCCGCTGGTCCCCCCGTGTCCCTGCTCCGCACGGTCCCCTCCCCGGCGCAACGTATGTGACAAAGAGCCGGGGACGGGGGTACGGGGAGTGGTGAGGGACGGGGATGTCGTTCCGCAGCTTACCAACTCCGCCGCCCCGCAACTTTTCCGCGCAGCCCCGCGGCGCATTGTTCTGCGGGGGCACGGCAGCAGCGGGGCACACACAGACACGGGGACACGCCGCGCTCCGGAGCCCGCCCCGCCGAACAAAGGTGCTGGGCATCCCCCGGTGTGGTGCTGGGGTCGGGTTTTGAAGTGCCGGTGGGCGGCGGGGCTACACTCACAGCCCTCTCAACCCCTCCTGACCCCGGCTGATACCGTAGCAGCCGCGAAAGTACTTTATTATTTTATTTAATGTTGTAATGCATTCTCGGTGGATAAAATCCCCCGTGCGAGTAGCGCGAGGGCTCCGTCGGATTTCTCCTCCGTGGGAACTGCCCCACGGGGTGCCGGGGGTGCCCTGTGTATGAGGGGGGCGTGAAATAATTGGGCAGGAAAGCGAGTTTTTTAGGAGCGGACGGAGGTCTCGTCAAGTTGTGCTGTAGCGGCGGCTTCTCGGCGTTGCTGCAGCCGGGGAGGAGGGGAGGACGTGTACCGAGCGGGGTTCAGCCGAGGGAAGGTCGGAGTGAGGCTGCGGAGGGTCCGGAGCTGGAGGGCGCCGGCCACATGCGCTTGCCGGGGCGCCCACCGCATCGCTCCGGAGCGGCTGTAACCTCCGGGCGCTGTGCTCCGGAGGAGTTCCCCCATCGGCAGTTTGTCTTGAACCTTCACCTAGAAGAGAAGGTTTTGTTTGTTTGTTTTTCCTTTTTTTCTGTCCTATTTATGTATTAATTAATTAATTAATTTATTTATTTATTTTCCCCTGCAGTATTTTAGACACTTCTTAATTCTAGAGACTGGCATGCATGCTTCCTGGAACAGGAGCAGGCTAGGCATCTCTGTTGCTACAGGAGAGGGGAATGCTGGAGGAGATTTTAAAGTGATGTTACGTTAGGGAATTCCACGCCTAACTTTGCCACGGAAAGGTGGAGGAAATCAGGCAGTGCCGACATGCAGTGTTAATGGCTAGGGTGGAGTGGGAGACACAACTTGGGCACTGAAACGTAATCAACTAGTGGCACTTATTACTCCCTGTGGGCGAATAATTCTAGAAATCATTGCTGAAGTGGCTAGTGGGAGCATTGTTTATTTGGTTTGGCGAAATTACGGATTGAAGCCATTTTCTTGTGCTGCATATTTGCTGCATAGTTGCATGTGTTTGTCAGTACACTTGATAAGATCCTGAAGGGCAGAATGGGATCGCACTGTGGGACTAGATGAAAGGAATCCATAAGGCTGCTGTGTGTTGGATCAGGTGAAGACCACGTTATTTTGATTTTGCTTGGCAGAAACTTCCCAGCGCGGGCCACACACACTGTGCTGTGGTCCTAGAGCTGAAACTTTAAACTGGCTTTAGTCTTACTTCGTTGTAGCTGGTTTTTCTTTTGGGTCCTTGGTGCCATAAGGCACGTCGTACTTCATGTGGAATGAAAATGCTTAATGATTTTCAAGGCAAGCCTGCCAAACTGACATACTGCCAAGCAGCAGCTGCCCTCCTGATTAAAGTTACGGGGGCCAGCTAGATGGTGCTGTTCGATTTAAATACACTTTGTCTCCCACTCCTTACAACTAACAGCTGGAAATGTGAATTCCTCGAGTATAGGTTATTCTATGCAAAACACTGGTTTGTTCTTAAATCACGGACTTGGCACATCTTGTAGCATCTACTGATGGATAAACATAACCAGGAATTTAGAAACACCCTCTTCCTCTCTCATCTCCCCCCTCCCCAGCCATCCTTTCCCTTAATGAAAAATAGAAAAGCCTAAAGACTTGGTTTATGTTGTGAAATGCCATTATAAACTACATTCCAGATTCTTTTTTTTTATTCCATCTTTTAAAGTTTCGTTGTAAATGGGATCACATCATTGCCATTTTCCTACGCTTTCCTTCTGACATCCAAAAAGCTGTGATTACATTTTCCTTTCTCTTTCCTATGACATTGTTTTACAACTCTGCAATGCTTCTCCCAAGGTGATGCACAAGTTCTTGTTCTGCTGAGAAAAGTTGACATTGAATTAAATATGTTCAGAGAAACACAGCTCTAACTTCTGCGTGAGGTGGTATTAAATTGAAAACTGGGGGGAAAATATATATGTTTGATTGATACATTAAGTACTTAATGAAGGAGAGTGGAGTTATAATTATACTTAATTTGGAAATTTTAAAGCAGAAGATGTAACTTAACTCCATCGTGACTCATGGTTTTAAATATCTAAAATCTGTCACCAGCAACTGATATCTGAGATACATTTGTAATAATTAAGGAAATAAAATAACACCCCCCTACCTAATAATTAATGAAATAAAATAAAAATCGACTGCTGCGGGTTTGGACAGCCTAATTACATGGAACATTTTTCTTTCCCATGGGGATGTGTGCCAGTGACAAGACTAGGGTGTGAAAAGGGTGTTTATCAAGTGTGGAAAAGATGTGTGTTGTTCAGATGTTGTTTGTAATCAAGGATGTGATATATTTTACAGACTGATCCTGTGCCAGATACGTTTGCAGTGTGGTATCTTGCTGTATGCTGCCTTTAATATGTATGTCCTTTGAGGTTATGTAATTTCTATTAAAATTAAAAAGTTTTGCCAGTCATTTACAGCATCCCTTGGCAAATTTTCAGTTCCAAGGATGGCGTTCATTTTACGGTCTTTCTTTGTCCTGCCTGCCTGACCTTTGGGGTAAATTATCTATATTATGTAGTTTAACAACTCATGTGAAGTGTAGATAGATGAATTCAGGGAAAAAAAACAATACCTGATTTTATGCCAGAGAAGTACAGTACAGCACAGGTAAGTAAAATGCTAAAAATGAAGGCACACAGTACCTGTGAGCTCTGAAGAAGATTAAGAGAGAAAAGTCTCTCGTGTCGTTGTGCCCCTTCCTCCTGTTCTGGAGGCTTAATTTTGGGTTCATGCTATCCCTGTCGCATAAAGGATAGGGAAAGGAAAGTTGTATTAAGCAGCAGCTTGTGCTGTGCCAGGTTCAAATAAGGCTCATCTACATTGTAGAAGGAAAAAGACTAAAATTTTTCTAAGCATCCTCTTTTTAATCTCTTCACAGCAAATATGTGTGTGTTTTTATTTTTTCCTTACTCCTTAAAATTGGATTAAGTCAGACTAGGAGTTTAGGCCTTTTGACATTTCATTGAATGGTGAAACTAAACTTTTAATCTGGGAGAAGTGAAGTCACACTGTACAAATTTTATGTAGTTTTTCAAAGAGGATTTCCATAGGCGTCAGTTAGGGTAGGTTAATGGTTGGACTTGATCTTAAAAAGTCTTTTCCAACCTGAACAGTTCTGATTCTATTTGCAAACAGAACTCTATCTAGAAATATAAATAATGTTTTAGGTTAGAAAGGATGTGTATAAAAACAGTTAAAAAGAACATAAGGTAAACTAAATACTGAAGGGATGATATGTTTTGTGTTCAGTTGTCTTGATTTTTCAGTAGTCTTCTAAAGTAGTCTTTTTTCCAAGATGCACTTACCTTGTTGGGGCTCAGACCCAGCCATGTGGGTTTTGGTCAAAAACTGAGTGACTAGAATCTGCATTTTTACTTTGGTATAAGAGGATGCAAAACAATGTAAAAGCAAGAATTAGAGTTGGTTATTGATTGGTTTTCAGGTCGGTGTGGGAGTGGATGTGGAGAAAGTAACACTTGGTAGCTGCTGTTGTGTTATTCTTGCTCCATTTTTTTGCGTGGCTGTGGTTGTAAATGTCTCCTGAAGTTTGATGTTTGCCAGTTGGTTGGGCATTTTTCTTCTGCACTTTGTTGCTGCTTTGAAGAAGAAAGATGTCTCCTTTGTTGTTTCTTCTCAAGTCTGGTTTGGGTGATTGGCTGTTCAGATGCAGGGCTCCTTTATACAAGTGCCCTGAGTACCTGCCTTCATCAACTACTCTTCCCAAGCAGGAAAACAAAGTTAATTGACAAAACTTTTGCCATTTTCTTGTTGATGCCAGTATACTTCTCTGTAATAGAAAGAATCACTAATGCTTTCCTCATTTGATTCTACTGCTGTATAGGAAAACTGAGATTTCCGAGGGCTTTTGAGGATTTGTGGATTTCTAGAGATAGTATTTTTTTCCTTTTTTTTCTTCCTTTTTTTTTTTTTTTTTAGTGGTTTTGTATGTGATAACGGTTTTTTTTTTTTCAGTTGCTTGGGTTTTTTTTTCCCTTCAGATTTGGAAAGATGGCATCATATGAATTAGGCTACCTATTTCTGCTGTAGTGCTTCTAAGCTTCATAAAAATAAGACACAGATTAGAATTAGTTGCTTTCAATGATAAATTCACTCCTCGTCCCTGGGAAATGGTGGGCTGGTTTTTCAGATTTCACGTAGTGAAGGATATATTGATCTCTCTCTCCCTCTCCCCTTTGAAAACAAAACTGGGGGCTTAATCTGGCTTGTTTTAGAAAATTTAGGTGTGACATTTGTCCATGGATTTCACCCATCAGGTGAAACGTATAAAAGTTGCGGGTGAACTGCTCTGTGAGTGTGAACATGACATCTTTTTCGTTTTAGAAAAATATAAAGAATATAAAGCCCAGCTCTCAGCCTGTCTCCAGAGCAGAGCTGCTCCAGACCTCACAGCATCTCCATGGCATCTGGACTTGCTCCAACAGCTCCAGGTCCCTCTTGTGTTGTTGCCCCAGAGATAGATCAGGGCTGCAGGGGGGGTTTCCCCAGAGCGCAGCAGAGGGGGAGAATCCCCTCATGCTCTGGGGATGCA